AATGGAATAATTGACGGACTTGGTTGGTTTTGACTGTCTGAGGGTGAACCTGACTATTTGGTACACCCCACCCCCAAAAACCCCTCTTTTCTCTTGAAATAAGGAGGAGAGGTGTTAAAGTTCGAAGCATGTCACAGGCGGTGACAATCATGCCCGTTTTAAGATGAGAAAGAAAGGCCTTATCTTTCAATCCTGGAGTATTTGGTTATTATTATACTGGCAGTTATTCACAATTATTATGCGTAATGTTACAAGATTTGTTAGCCCTTGCTGGTTGTAGAAGTTTTCTAATGCTTTTTTTTTTTTTTTCCAATTGCAGGATGCCAGAGGGAATGATGTTGATCTTAGCCAATACAAGGGAAAGGTCCTTTTGATTGTCAATGTTGCATCTCAGTGGTACGGATTTTCAGCTTTTGATGTTTATACTGTTTGGTTTGTAATCTTAATAATGATTGAAGGATAAGTTAGGAAATATGCTCCTTGACATGGTTTTTCTTTTGAATAAACTGATTTAGCCATATGTAGACAGACAACGCATAGACAGACAATGCAAAGAAATGGCTTCAGTGTGTCTGGTGCATCAGTGCATGCGTACATATCAAAAGGATTTCTCTCCTTGTTGACCGAACCTTTTGGATACGTTCTAAAATGGCATACTGACAGAGTTGTTAATGGAATTCAAATCTGCTGCAGTTTTTCGTTGTTTGTTCATTCTTTAGGTGCTTCTCGTCCATGGTTGGTTGGTTTTTCTAGTCTCTGTTAATAAACTGTCCTTCTAAGCTTCGCATATGGTGAGATGAAAGAGTCTCGAGGAAGAAAAGGTTTTTATATGTTGAACTTCTTTTCTTCCGAACGGTTTAAGACTTTTCTACTCAGCAGTCACCGCCTAAGAATGTTTTCTTCCTTCTTCGATCCTCATCATGTGGTTTTTTTTTTTCCAAGTTTTCTTGGTTATCTTATCGCCTCAAGACTTGAAGCTGGTTCTTTGCAAGTCTATTGTTTTTCAATTCATCAAAATGGTTCTCCTGGATTTGTTAGTCAACTAGAAAGTGAAGACCCAACAGTCTTGCCCAGTTCCTGACTGTTGTTGTCTTGCATGGACTTATTTGATATCTTTTTCTTGCTTGACCTTATTTCTTCAATCTTACTTGGCATGTCCTATTTTCTGTTGATGCAGCGGTCTGACCAACTCAAACTACACTGAGCTGACAAAGCTATATGAGCAGTACAAGGATCAAGGTCCGAATCCTGTCAACTCTTTCTGCTCTTTAGTATATTAGCTGACTATAACTCGAAGTTTGGCTCTTGAACTTTTGAATAGGTCTGGAGATCCTTGCATTTCCTTGTAACCAGTTTGGCTCACAGGAGCCTGGAACTAATGAAGAGATTCAACAGTTTGCTTGCACCCGCTTTAAGGCTGAGTATCCCATATTTGACAAGGTATAATTTGCAGAAAAGCATCTTTATTGGTTGCCAGCTTTTATCATTGATTCCTTTAGTTTTACTCCCATGGTATTCATGGCTTCCCAGTTTTCCTTTTCCTTTTCCTTTTCCTTGTTGCTTTAGAGAAAACAGAGAGCTATGTGCTTGGCCAGTGTTTCTGGTCTTCTATGTAATGAGTTAGCGTATTTTATGTGTGTGGTGTGTAGACATTTCCTTATTATTTGAAGCCCTTGTTAGGATGTACAGGGCTGCTCTTGAAAGTTGTAGTTTTATGCTTTGGTTTGTGTTGACACTTGAATTCTTTGTAAAATGTTTTATTGTCTCCTATGTTATAGGTGGACGTAAATGGTTCAAATGCTGCTCCTCTGTATAAGTTTTTGAAGTCAAGCAAAGGTGGACTTTTTGGGGATAGCATCAAATGGAACTTCTCAAAATTCCTCGTAGATAAAGAGGGGCATGTTGTTGATCGCTACGCTCCCACCACATCTCCCTTGAGCATAGAGGTAAAAAAACTGCAAATGTCGGCTACAGTCTATGTATTAGGACATTAATTTAGTATGTCATCTCATCTTATGATGCTAACAAATAGTATGTTTCTTCTTACTCTTTGCAGAAGGACGTTAAGAAACTATTGGAAAAAGCTTAAGCAGAGCTGTTGACTGGAAAACTCGTCCGAATGGACGCTTCTGCCTTTGATCTTTCAAATATGTACTGTCACGGAAATATCTTTATGAATAAGCGGAATTGTGTTGCGGTTGAATGTGCTTTCTAGACCATATTTTAGTTTCTGCTACAGTACTGAAGTGTCTTTTTATTTGCTTAATTCAAGCAATAAAGCATGTTTGCTAATAGGCAAATGTTATGGTCCAGTTGAATGTAGTTTTGTGGTTTTCTTCTCCCTAGTCACTGTTGTAAAGCTTATTTTTATGTTGTTTTAGTTAAAAATAGTAACATATCGCCCATGCAGCTTCTCTTTGTTTGCTGATAGGCAAATATTATGGTCCAGTTGAATGTAGTTTTGCGGTTCTCTTCTCCCTAGTCATTGTTGTAAAGCGTGTATTTTTATGTTGTTTTAGTTCAAAATAGTAACATTTTGCCAATGCAGCTTAAAATAGTAACAACAATAAATGTTAATCTTTTCCATGTAGAGGGAACTGGGTTGTTGATGCTCCAACAGCGTGGCCCTTAAGTGACATCTGGATTAAGTGATAAAATTCACCCAAGCTAAGCAATATGGTGCGTACTAGAGAAAGTTTGCAGATGTCGCCTTCTGTGCATAAATTACCATTTTATATTTGCAGGAGGGGCATTGTGAAAACTGAGTACGCCCAATGAACATTTTTTCCCCCTTTTCGGTTTTTGTCCCCTATGCTTGGACTGGAGAACGGAATTTGACAATGGCGGTTAACTTGGTTTGAAGTTCAATAATGGGATGAGAATTTAGGCAAAAGCAATTGTATATCTGTTCTTAATGTTTTGAAACTCGGACTAGTGATTGATCCCGTTAAGCCACTGGTTTTCGGTTCAACCGATTCAACTGATCGAGTTATCGATACATTATTGTTTTCATAAACAAAAAAAAAAATTTAATTCATTATCTCTATTGCCTGGTGATACTCCTGTGCAGAATAAGCCCAGATTCAAATATTTCATACCTTCAAGTTTCAGTTTCATCTTTATCACAGAGAGATTTAAAAGAGATAAGTTTCAAATCTTAGTAAAAAAAAAAAAAGAGAAACCGTCCAAGGATTTTCGTACCTTCAAGCCTCATCTTCATCACAAAGAGAAAAGTTTCAAATCTTAAGAGAGAGAGAGCATATCCAAAGATTTTCAACATATTAACTTGAAGTAAACCACCGGCCTTTGAGTTGGTGGCCACCACTAAGCCATTTAAGACTTGGTGGGGTGAATCCTTGCCTCCCACCAATTGCCATATTAGGTGATCTCTTAAAAAATTTAGACGGGTGTACTATGATGGTTCAGTCCCCACCGGCCCCCCTAGACCCAGTTGAGTCTTCCCCTTATATTAGGATAGTGTAGGATGCTATAGATAAAGTGACGATTGATAAAAAAAAAATGTATATATATATATATATATTAACTTGAAGTATTCCTTTTCCAAAAATAAAAAAAATAAAAAAACTATGTACTCTAGAACAAATTTTTTCATAACTTGAAAAGTCAAGAACATAAATTTTCTAAAAATTGATGAATGTAATTTCTTTCAATCATACCAAAAAAAAAAAGAAAAAACCTAAAAAGTCGCAATAGAAAAAAAAATTTCAAAAGAAAAGAAAAGAAAAGAAAAATCGTCACATACAAAATATAAAGAAAATAAAAATTAAAATGATTGAACTAAAGATGTGGAAAAACTTCAAGAGGTCGAACTACATAGATGAAGATTTAGAAAAGGTTGGAAGTAGAAAAAAGAAGAGAGTAGAGTCCAGATTAGAAAGAGAAATTGAAAGAGAATAAGAGTTTGTAGATGAAATAAATTCATAGACGATAAAATACCTATGATTAGATGAGAAAAAAATGAAATTGGGAGCATAGAGACTGGAGATGGCGATGCAAAGAGACGAGGGGTAGGGTGAATATGAATAAGACGGTAAAATAGTTTACATAGAGCATGGAAGTTAATTTATTGGGTAAAATACACGGAACCCCCTTAAGGTTTCGCGAAAAGATACCTTACCCCCTATCGTTTAGAAACCTCCACCTAAATACCTTAAACTTCATAACTAAAGTGAAAATTGACCTGTAACCGGACGTGCGACTTAATGACGATGGATATGCGAGAATCCTTTGTAAAGAAAATCCTCCCTCTCCTATTCTCCTCCTAAATAACACAAATATTTTTTGATCTTCTCTTTTATGATTCAAGAATCATGACTGCGTTCTTTCCGCGGCAAAGTGATCGATCTGTCATCACCATTACATTCTACTCCTATATTTTAGTATCGGTTGCTTTTGATCAGGTCCCACCCTCAATCAAACCGGGCGACAGACGAGAAATGCTTTATGGAAAGAGTCATGTTTACAAGCTCGAGGAATCTAAGGGGCGGTAACAAAATGAAACAAGTAAGGAAGGGAAAGTACTTTCAGAGAAGAGTAAGGCATTCCAATTGCCAGTTGACCGATCCTTTTCATTCGATTGAGTTCCGACCTCGAGTTCAACACACGGGTAAGCTTCTTCTTCCTCTTCTCATCTTGAGTGTCTTTTATTATTACTGGATGTAACCTAAAAGAAAGAAAAGGATATCGCCGGAATCTAAAGCTTTCCAATTCGAATTGCCTTTCCCTGTCTTTGCCTAATTCGCTTCTTAACGCACAACATACCCGGCAAGAGCAGCTGATTCAATAGCTTTTCACTCCTCACCCCTTGGATGAAATTCTCTTTCATTTATGAGTTACAAGTGGGAATTGAATTCAATCTTAAGCTTCGGCCTTCGGTCTTCCTCTTAAGGGCACTTCACCAACCAACCAAAGAATGTCCTCTGCCTTAAGGCTCGGGTAAAGAAAAGATCTTTCCTCTGGTCTTCTTAAAGCAGCTAATTTATTTTAGTATAAAAAATATACAGCTGGGCCTGGTGAAACCTTTTGCCTCCTCCACATGAGGTCCCAAAATCGAACCTAACCAGCATCCAAAAAACATCCCCACTTTTACAAAGCTTTCAAAAAAAAAAAAAGCTTTCATAAAAACAAAGGAAATTGTGAAGAAAATAAAAAATTGGGGTTTACTGGTTCAATCGATTTTTAGCGATTTAACGGTTTTTTCTATTTTTGATCGGTTTAATTGAAGTCTTCGGTTTTGGTATACAATCAAATCGGTGTCAAGATAGAATCGCTATTCAACCGGTCGAACCGACCTGTCTGATTCGATTTTAAAACACTAACTTTTTTGTATGATTTTTTTTTTTGAAAATTTCACCACAACCATCTTTTTTCACATTCGTACTCCTAGCGAGAGAGTCCAACTTGAAATTGAAAAAAAAGGCAATTTAAATGACTTAAGTTGTTCATTTCTTTGTTGTATTTCTGCTAAGTAGCGCACACTCTGCATTAATGTGTACATAAAATGACGCTTACAAAATTTAATCCACTGTTTTTTTTTTAAAAAAAAAATACACAAAGATCGGAAATCCCCCTTCCCCCCCCCCCGGGGTCCCCCCAACAAATACATAAAAAAAAGAAAATTACTTTGGAACCACGAAGCCAAAGCCTCAAAGTTCGGTAGTTTCTGCATTCTTGCGGGGGTTTGAGGCTTGACAACCATAATGGAAGGCCAATCTGCGAAAGAGCCACAATCAGTCTTCGACTTCACTATCAAGGTTAGATCTTTCTACCTTTTTCAACGCTTGAATTGATTTTGCATCCAAATATGTAAGTTTAAGCACCCTCCCAAACAAGTGGTCTTACGTAGCTCGATAGTAACAATTAGGAAGCATAATCTAAAGGGGGGATCTCCATATAGTTGCTGCGAAATCTATCTAAAAAGAAAGTGATTCGATTTTGATAAAGTTTTTCTTTAATCCTCTGATTCCAATGATTTCAAGGGCACATAGGGAAGCACTGAGCACTGTGAAAATTCTTGCAATGCTATAGAAAGTGCTCTAATTGGGTCTGAGAAAGCTACAGATGAAGTTGAAATCTACCTTCTATGAGTGTCTGTTGACAAGTGCTTCAAGTTGAGGAAATTTAAACTAACCTTAACATCAATCGTGATCAGCTGTTTAAAAGTAAAAAGACCAAAAACGGAGAGAGTCAAGTTATTTTTGAGAAAGCTACAGATGAAGTAGAATGTTTGATTTTTCACCTTCCTAGCAGTAAAAATTAAAATGCAGTTTAGTTTGTCCTACCTTTTCTTGTCTATGCTAAAAGCATACAAGAAGCCTGAATTAGGTCAGCATCTGTTCTTGCCAACTAACTGTCATTTATCTTCCCGCTTGAACTGTCCACTATAGCTAATCAATCAGTCTATAAAGGCGGGCTTTGAGGGATTGAAATTCATAGTTAATTGCTGGGCAGGAAGAGCAAGAAGCTGGCAAGATATTTAACATTGATGTAGTGTTGCAAATTGTTCAATTCTGGGAGATTATGTAGCATAAGGGAAGCTTCACTTAAGAGTTTCAGCTTATTGATTTATATGGATTGCAGGATGCTAAAGGAAATGATGTGGATCTGAGCATCTACAAGGGAAGGGTTCTACTAATTGTCAATGTTGCTTCAAAATGGTTGACATTTGCTAATCTATCGTCTGTCACTATGCTATAATTATGGTACCATTTTTTTCCCCTGAATGATTATGCTTCTTTCTTTGTCTTTTGGTTGATTTTTGATAGTGGGATGACCAATTCAAACTACATTGAGCTCAATCAACTGTATCAGAAATACAAGGAGCTCGGTATGCGTTTCATGGTTTTGTATTGCTTTGATTGTGTCTGATAGAAGGAATCATAGGTTTGTGCACCTGATATGGATTTCAAGTTCAGTGAGGTCGACATTATTTGAAGAGTTCCTGATTGTACTGTTGGAATCCTGAAATTCAATTACTTGCCTTAAGGCTAAAACATTGATCCGTTTCAGTTTATATATTTTTAGTGAGGCTGCATTAAGTAGTGTTCGTTTCATTGTGTGATAAGACTCTGCAAAACCACTGATCTTGCTTTCATTTCACATATAGGGCTGGAGATACTTGCATTTCCATGCAATCAGTTTGGTGAAGAAGAACCAGGAAGTAATGATCAGATCTTAGACTTTGTCTGTACCCGTTTCCAGTCAGAATTCCCAATCTTTGACAAAGTAAATCCCAATCGGCCAACCTTACTAAGAAAGGGTATTTTCAGAAGTGGATTGTTTTTCTGTGTCTAACAACTATCACCGTAAGCATGGCTTTGCCCAAAAATAAGCTTGCATATATAAATTTTGTAAACCAGATGCTTTTATTTTTCACTTTGCATTCTTTTTTCCAAGCAATTTAGTTGCCTGGTTTCAAGACAAAACATTTCACTTTGGACTTTGGAGAAGTACTATGTTCTCATTCCATCAATATCGTTAATCTAGATTGAAGTGAATGGTGAAGGTGCTGCTCCACTTTATAAGTTTCTGAAGAAAGGCCAGTGGGGGATATTAGGAGACGATGTTCAGTGGAATTTTGCAAAGTTCCTGGTGGATAAGAATGGGCAGGCTGTAGATCGCTACTATCCCACAACGTCCCCACTAACTATCGAGGTAATGCCTGCTCCTGCTAACTTCTTGATTGTCTTGACCTCTGTTAATGTCTCATGTTGACTTCAATAACATGATGATTAAAAAAATTTTATACTCATTTTCGTTTACATTCCCAATAAGATATCCTCAACCATTATCCATTATTACTGTGTAGTAATATTTCTTACGTTGTGAACTTCTTGTAATTGTAGCGAGATATAAAGAAGCTATTCGGTGTCCTGTAGTTTCCACAAGATACAAGGGTTTCTAAGGTCAGTCACTTTGCAACGACTGCTCCTGTATTGCTTCTAACATATCACTGTATCATGCTATGGTGCAGAAACTGTAAGGCCCTACAGACGGATGAATGTTGTATTCCATAGTGTGTAAAAATTATAGTTTAGCCATCTATTTAGCATAGCTTAAAACTCATTTCCAAATCAAACCAAATTGAACTTTTATTCTCATGTTTCATTTTTCACTCGTGCGCAAGAGGTTCTGTATGTATCATGGTGCAATAAGTTGCAGAGGAGCTGGAGTTTATATGATACACGAGTCTGATGCCTTTATTGTTAAACTTTACCTCTAGCTTGGCTTAGTGCAACCATCAGCAGAAGACCAACATGAGATTTCAGGAAGGATGGGGGCATTTACGGTAAGTGTAATCCAGTGTTGTTGAAATGTTTCATAGGATGCATAACAAAAGCAGGCTGCAAAGCTTAACTTGACCAGAGTCACCAGACAAGGCAACTCGGGATAAAATTGCTCATGATATGAGCTGTAGTTGCTTGGAAGCTACCAGTTTTATGTAACTCTTCTTCGGTCCCTTTATATTGCTTGCTTTCAGTCACTAATCTTATGCTAGAGCTTAAAAGTATCAGTTGCCACTTCTTTTGCCTGCAATACCACAACACAATTCTGGCTTTTACCGTATCTCCAGTTGAAGTTGATCCTACAGGATTCCTATGGTGTGTGAGTGGTGATTCGTGCAGCTGCATTGCCAAATGCCAACTCTTTTTTCTTTTGCTTCATTCTTCTTTTCATTTTTCATTCTAATGATTTTTGAACCAGAAAGAGAACACTTCAGCAAGGTGGTCCATGTTGCCTTTTTTATATCTTAACTTTGGGTTTCATTATCAAGGTAATACATCAAAGCAAGAAATTAAGTAATTTAACAACGCATGAAGCTGAACGTAATCAGCCACGTTCTGGTGCAATGTGTAATTGCTTCCTCAAACCATCAAAGCGAAAACCGACTCATAATCAACAATGACATATCGACTCTGCATGTAGAGAAGGGCTGAAGAAATGAACAGGACTTTTAACCCGAAAGAACAAAAGGAAAGAAGGAAACGGCTGCCGATCCTCGGTGTGTATTCTCATTGATTTGAGGGGCTTGTTAAGGGCCGAGGATCAGAAGCATCAATCAACCGCTTATTTACTCCTTTTAAATTTTACCACCATTATAAAACTATTTGAGTCCAAATAAAGATGCCCCTTCATTTGGATTGCTTCTTACAAGTTGGAAGAAAATGCTATGGCATCTTTTAGAATGGCATCTGTATGGCAAAAAAAAAGTTTGAAAACTTCAAAAACAAAAAGTTCGTTGAAACTTGAAAGCGAGCTTACTGAATATTCCAAAATGTTTTGCAAAAAGCGACCTTAGGAAATACTCCAAAAAGTGATCCAAAATGAATGGCTGTCCCTGTCCAAATTCCAGTGGAGCGTGGGTCCCGCAGTTGGTCGATCCATCAGTTGACTCCGTTGTCTTAATGATATATTACCGACCTGCATCCGGAAAACGTTCACAGTCTGCATCTCAGTCCTCTGGGCCGTCTGCAATTTCCCTGCTGAACACCTATCATCCCATCGGATAATGGCATCCCTATCTGAGAAAGCCCCTCAATCTGTCTATGACTTCACTGTTAAGGTTATTTCTTTACCTTCTTGTTTTGCGTGTTTGTAGCCTACACTTGCGGAAGATACATGTGTGTTTGGAATTGAAGTAACTGTACTACTTGTATGTATGTGGTTTGATAGCTTCAGGGATGACTAATATTAAATGGGTTATGAAGATTTACGAGTATTATTACTTGTCAAGATCTTGGAGAGAAAAGCCATCAACTTTGAGCAAGCCCGTTTAGTTTTTATGGAGCATAAAGTCTTAAATCCCAGTTGCACATTTTTCTTAGTTTTTTACCTCACTCAAACAGGTCTACTGAGATTTTTCATCTTTGATTGATTGCAGGATGCTAAGGGAAATGATGTGGATCTCAGCATCTATGAGGGAAAAGTTCTGCTAATTGTCAATGTTGCTTCTAAATGGTAGAGTCTACTTAAAACTGCACGCATTTTTTCAGACCAGAATGTCAATTTGTTTCTCTCATGCAATTTTTCTCATGGTAAACTAATTGTGCATAAGAATACTTGTATACAGCTTTAAGACTGACTAGTAAGAAAGTAATAACAAACATAACTGTCATTTTGTTCTAGGATCATTTTGCAAACCTGGGAATATCATTACCAATGCACTTCCTCCAAATGATTTTTTTGTTTTTTTTGGCCTCAGTGGGTTTACCAACTCAAATTATACAGAACTGAATGAACTGTATCAGAAGTATAAGGATCAAGGTATGTGTTTCAATTATATGTAGTTGTTTATGAGTGATTGTCTATTGCATAATTAAAAGCAGAAATAGAAATTTGCAAATGTGGGATACAATCTCTATGTACTGATTGACTTCTATTCCATGTTCTTAATTTCTGATATCATTGAATGGAGTACACGGATGTTTTTGCTTGACTTAGCACTGACTTTGTTATTTCTATTTAGGCTACAGGATTTTTTTTTTAAATTTTAGAAATTAGATGTTAATTTTTGTACCTCTGATTATGCTTTCAATCTAGGACTGGAGATTCTGGGATTTCCCTGCAATCAGTTTGGTCAGCAAGAACCAGGAAGTAATGATGAGATCGTAGATTTTGTCTGCACCCGTTTCAAGTCAGAATTCCCCATCTTTGACAAAGTAAATAAAATCGGCTAAACTTTAGCCTGCTTTCATATTAAGCTCCAATTCTGTTGCTGTTTTGCCAAATCATTTAGTGAATAATGAAATCATGTACTTCCCAAAAAAAAAAAAAAAAACTGACGTAGAAGCAACTCTGTCACTTAGCATCACATTGCTCTGCAAAGCATTTATATAAACCATTTCAGTTTTGAGATTCGTATTCATTGCATATTCTTATAATAGATTGAAGTGAACGGCGAAAATTCTGCTCCAATTTATAAGTTTCTGAAGAAAGGAAAGTGGGGGCTAATAGGAGATAACATTCAGTGGAACTTTGCAAAATTCCTGGTTGATAAGAATGGACAGGCAGTTGATCGCTACTACCCTACGACTTCTCCTCTTACCATTGAGGTAATCCCTCCTGCTGATTTCCTGGTGTTATTGAGTACAATTTCTGCGTCATCTGGACTTCAAAATGCACATATTTTAAAGGTCTCCAATGATGTCATCAGCTTTTATGAACGATGCATAGAAACTCAACTTGTGATTCTGTTTTAATTGCAGCGAGATATAAAGAAGCTCTTGGGAGTTTCTTAGATGCCACAAGATATGGGGTCTTCGTGATGTTAGTTAGTCTGGAATTCTGATCGGATCTTGCGTTTGGCACATTTTGTTCTCCTATCTACAGGCTAACATGATTGAAGATGACATCATGAAGTAAACTTCATGTGATTTATTTGTTTTCTGTACTTTTTGCTGTGACTATTTTAATAAGATCATGATCTGAAACCCAGGATTCTATATTTTCTGCTGTTATGAGATTATCATCTTGCTTCGTCAAACATTTTCACTTAACAAGGAAAGCAAAACTCTTATAACAGTTTTATTAAGTTGAAACCAACTCAAAAGCACTATATAGTTGCATGAATTCGTGAAGTTTTATTGTTAAGTCATGATTATGACTTTGTGAGGAGTAAATTGAAATCTTGCAAGAAGTTGAAGGTCAACTTGCCATCCAGTTATTCTGGATGAGCTGCTTTATTGTGTCCAAGCATTGGAACCTCCCTCCCAACCCCCTACCCCTTAGAAAACACAAGAGAGAGAGAGAGAGAGAGGATGACAAGTAGAGAACAGAAAGGAGAAACAGAAAAAATGTTTCGTCACTGCAGCATCTAATCATCAGCCCAGAAAACTTCCATTGATCCCCAGTCTTTCTTGGGGACTTTCAAGGCTTTCCAAACTGCTTCAGAGGCATCAACAATGTTGTTTTGACATGGTGGCTGGAAACCATGATCGGAGTCGCAACCCTTCGTTGAGTCACACTCATCAACCACCATGGCTCTGACACTTCTTCCATTACCGAAGATGGTAATGTACTTATGGCACCTTTTCAAGCCATTGAACCATCCTGTGGATAGAGCCACCACTGGTGTGTTGTTGGAATGGAACTTATTGTCACACGCAGAAGGTCCACCACCATCTCCACCCTTCTGAAAATCATTTATAGTCAGAATTGCCTTTGTGTGTTTAGAAACAGGAGGCGAACACTCGAAGGTTTTGTAAACTCTGTTTGCCTGACAGCAATCATCAGTATGAGGATCGCACTGGTCTCTTGGTGCTTGTTTTCCTCTGATTTTGCCGCTTGGCGTGCATGGTTTGGCTTCCACCATCAAAATCGTACAAGCCAAAGCAATGCTTGAGAGCAAAACCAAGAGGCAGATCGAACTGAATTGGACTTGTTTTCTCATGTTTTTCAGTTCTCTCTTTTTTCATTAGGTTCTGATGTCTTGGGATGCAAATAAGTGCAGAGGTCGTGGAGTAGTATATATAGCACACTAGGTACTGAATGCCTCCAACAAGATCAACAAATAGGAGCTGAAATAAGATGCTTTTCCATAAATCTTTACAACATTGTGCACCCTTTCTTTCTATAACTCTTTTCTATGGGTCCTTGGGCGTTTACATGAGATGCTTTGGAATTAAAAGAGTGTGTTGTCACTTGTCCCTTTGGGCGTCCACACTACTAAGATGTTAATTTGGCAGCTACCATGTCTGGATTCTCGAAGATTCGTTGACAAGATTTCCAAGGTACTCGAGAACTGATGGAAACGAGGCAGGAGCGGTCATCAGTTGACAAGATTTCCAAGGTACTCGAGAACTGATGACCGCTCCTGAGCTGTTAATGGCCATGATTTGGCCTCAACAAATTGTGTGATCCAGATCACAAGTTGTGCATCGATTTTCACACCGTGTGTGGAACTCACAAAATTTTGTACTAAAGTTACACGTTGTGCAAACAAAATTACGCCGTATGCAACCAAAGTTACACGTTGTTGAAAATGGCCAAAACCGTTGGTCCAAGCTAGAACCAATCAAATCAAAGCACAATGAACCCTGATACTTAGTTGCCCACTATGTAGCATGCCGACATGAAAATGAAGTTCAATTACATTGCTGTTGCCAAAACACGGAGGATTGTCTTTTGCCCTCTGTGTGACCACTTTAAACAGCATATGTCTTACCGATAGTTTGGAAGGAAGGGAGCTCCAAAAAGCCGCATTTTTTTTTTTGTTTTTTTCTTTACTTCCATCTTGTTTTTTTTTTTTTTGTGAAATTTTATATAGCGTGCATTGGAAGGGTAATTTGGTCAATTCGCAAAATACCTGCATCACCTGTGTTTCCATCAAAATATTGGCAGCAGCACCTAGTCCCGTACAACGTTCCATTTGAAAGAAAAATATCTTCGAACTGATTTGTTCCGTTCTTCCCATCTTCAAAACAAGAACAATGCAGCATGCAAGGCCGAAAAATGGAAAACAGAAAACTGAAGCCAAAAAGCTCATGAGAGGATACTTCTTAGCCCAAAAAAATTCAGTTAACCCGCAATTTGATTTGAGTTCTGCATCTCAAGAAATCCAATTACAACAGTAATGTAGACCCAAATTGGTACTCCAATCAATTTGTTGAGAGAGCTCCCAAAGTTTTATGCCGAAGACCATATTTAACCACCGCTACAAGTAGCCATAATATGCGCTCTACCAGCGTCAACCATGACCACCTATTCACTACTAAAAAAACACTAAGAAGGGGGGCAAGCTTTGTTACAAGAGGCTATGTTAGCACAAACCATCATTGCCTACTGGTGGTCGCACCATAAGTCAAATGAGTCCCTCTCTCTCTCCCCGTTTCATTTACAACAACACATATATACAAAAATTGCCATGTGTTGATTGCAGCAATTGTATCATCCGCGCGTCAGGTCAATCTCTGTCTGGGGATTCCTCAAGTCTGGCCGGGAAACAGGAGGCCAACCACCTGCTCCAGAGTTTCCTGTAGGATCCTGACCAGGAGCACCACTACCCAGTGCTGATGACTTGTCTTCAGACTTAGGTACAATGCTCTTGTCATCTTTATCACTAGCTTCTGATTTGCTCTTTCCCTTGGTACCACCATATACAAAACTGCAGACCACGACCTATACAACATCCAAAAACCAACTTAAATGACAATGTTCATAACCTCGAAAACAAACACCAAGTGATTAAAACACTCTTTATCTCCCCCCATGATATCATCCTTCCTCAACCTCCACGGGGCAGCCAAAACACGAGGAGAAAAGGTAGGAAACACACGTTGATGCCTCCAGATTCATAACAGTACCCACCCACTCGACTTGCAAACAAGATCCCCATCAACATAAAATTTAGGTAACAGAAGCTGCCAAAAAGAAGGTACTAAGCCGAGAAAGTACCTGAGCTGGGCTTGAGGCTATAAGCCTACCCCCTATTGCACCGCCAATGACATGCCCATCAGGACTACATACAGATATGCTAAGACCACCAGTCCTATTACGAGGGCCACCACTTTCAGCAAGCAAATAGGAACCGGACAAGCATAATATCTCAAAACGGCCCTGAAAAATTAAATAAAATAGATGTCATTGGTTTGCAACAGACACATATTCTCAGAGAAGAAAAATCATCACTGTTGCCAACAGCAAAGATTTATAAAATTATATGACAACTGACACTTTAACCATTAAAAAACAATTATAGACCTGCTAGCACGGCCATAACCTAGAAAACTTGACATTGTCCCCAAAAAAACAAGGCAGGGAGCATTATAATTACGTCATCCAAACAAAGTTCTACGCATAAGACAAAGCACAAAATTACACAACTTGATATGCATAGAATTTTAAGCAAGTCCATGGAACAACATGATTTCTTTTGGGGGGTAAATAAGCATTTGTACACAAGGAAAATGCAAACAATAAGGCACATATTAAGGGTAACAGAAAACAACACACCAACCAACAAAACATTACGCAACATCTGAAACAAATCAAGCATAAAATCCGGTGTCTGGTAGTAATCAAGTCCACTAAAGCCAACTGTTAGTAACCAAGTCCTCTAAAGCCAACTGTTTATGTAGGACATCTTAACTCTGTGTAGAGAGCATACAACTTGATGCAGCATGATAGAAAAACACGGACCCAGAGTGTGCACATACAGGATATATTCCACACAAATAGCTTTACACAATCTATTCAGCTTAGATATAAAAGCTATCCAATAGAAAACAACATTTACTAATTAACTATTCTGGAATTGCCAAAAAGTTTGACCAAACAAAAACTTGAGACAATAAAAAGCTACATCCTTGTATTCACAAGTGACCACCAAGTTCTTTATACCTGCTTGGCATAGAAAAAAAAAACTCATGGGCAAGCTGTTTGGTTACTACCTAGATAAGTACCACAAAAAGCCCATGTTCAAGGTAGGACTGACATTTTGTAGGACCCGAATCCTTTCGACTTCTAAAAAATGCAAACTTATATCAGGGTATAAATCATAAAAAAACCTTTCTTGCTTTCCACTTCCCTCACCCCACAAACACCAAATGAATTGTAAGCCCCTTTCCACCACCAAAATTATGTGAAAAAAATCTTTCAGACCCTACAAGAAGATAGTCAACAGATAAAAGGCAATACATATGAAATTTGTTTTGCAAAACAAGCTCAAGCTTGAGGACACTTGACAGAATGAATGTGCATTGTTTTTTTGTAGCTATTGCCATTGAGTAACAGTACTACGAAATTAACATTGGAAGGTGCTTCTAGAAAGAATCTCAATAGCCATCACTGGTTTTTATCCCAGGGTCTGAAACAAAAGGCATGTAGTTCTACATCTAACGTAAAATACATTGAAAAAAGAAGCAGCAACAGAAAAAGGATTCATTCTACTCCATTTATTTATGTAGCTGACAGCATCTAACAGATGAAAAATAAAATTAAGCCAGCTCAACATAAAAAGGGTTCACTCTTCTCCATTTAATCATGCAGCTGACAGCATCTACTGGATGAAAAATAAGGTCAAAAGACCTCGAGAAGAAAACACAAATAAGATAAAGATTCTATCCCCGCGATAGAGCATTGAGGCTAGACGAACTGGGATCAGATTGAGCATGTAGAATCAAAAAAGTTAAATACTTGGCATCTAAATGAACTCAATTCCCACAATCCTTCTGAAGTAAAGATGGTCCACCCCCAAAACGTCAATCTTTCCACAGAAACTGCTGTATTTGAATGAAACAACTTAGGATGGGGAACAACAAGATTCCATGTTAATAGCATGGCAAACATATTATAGTGCAAATGATAAAATATTTTATTAAAACTACGAAAAGGGTTCATTTCAATGTAGACCATTTTTAAAATAAGAAAGGCAAAAAATTCAAATGCATGCCAACAAATATGATGATAAATCATAAACCATCACAGCAGACTTCACCAAAATCTTCATGTGTATGTTGTATATTGCCTGTATAATTCGAAAGTTGAACATCTCTGTCAAAGATCACTAGCCCATGGGCAAAAACTTTTACAACTTATAAAGATAAGGTACAAAAATGCTTCTAAATTTGAGTATAAGGCACTAAAAAAGCCTGAGTTTGACCTCATATGTTACAGTGCCACCAGAGGTTGTTGGCTGCCGGAGTGTTACAGCAGATACCGAACCATTAGCTGACAAAATGCACAAAGCCCTTGGCCTCTGTTGTGCAAATGATAATATCTTTGCAGCAATATCCTGCAGTCACATTACCCACAGTTGTTACTGAAGCATGCAACTCAAATTAAAGACATATACTAAAGAAATTTTTATCAACACCAATAATCCATCCACTTAGCATGAATGGTCCACGATTTGTGGCTTTGACAACAAGATTGCATCACAACAATTGTAGTGAAGCATGTTCTATCAGTAAGAGTTGCATGCTTAAACAAGAATTTTATAGATATACAAGACAACATTCAGCTCAATTAGATTTCCACACCCAAAAAAATGGAATAAAACAAAATATATAGATCTCTATAACTAGCTCATATTCATGCAGGCACCATCCTCTTCCTTTTAATCACTTTGATCTAGAAACACTCTAGATCAGGATAGGCAACATATAATGCATATTGGAGCGAACCAATGCATATTCAATACCTCTCCAACTCCAACATGAATGACATGCGGTGTGAAAGCTAGTCCAGCAGTACTATTCATCCAATCACCTGCCACCAAAAATAAAAAATAAAAACAAAAACTATGAGCTCAAGAAAAGGGTGCCATACTATAAAATCACAATAATTTATCAATGTCTCTTAATCGGAACATACAATTACTAGAAAAGCAATGCAAGAGGCTGATCTATAGGATCTTAAGTTCAATTTTGACCATGAAAACTACAATTTCAGTTGCATCTACTACCGAACTAAGTAGCAGAATATTCCATCAATGTAATTTTAGTTTCACTAAAGTCAAACTACAAAGCAGACATATACGCATTTATCAAAGACATTGTAAGAATTTGAATAGGGAAAACTCCATAAAAGACTCATACTTTGATTAAAAATCGGAGAACAAAAACTAAACTTCCCACCTAGGACTCACGCAAAAATCCCCAGTAGAAAAGCAGTTTCAGAAATAAAGCAAGAGCAACCTGAAGATCCTATTTTGAAGTACAGTACTCAATTAACCAACTAATAATAGTCTTAAGTCTCATATAGGCTAAAATAAAACAATGCATATAAATACAACACGAATTAATCAAGAAAACAAAAACTTACCAAGTGGAGCCAATCGCTGTTTCCATCCACTACCAGGCGGCCGCCCCCGACTTTTTTTGGAGCCCCCAGGCGTGATTGATCCCGGGGATGGCGTAGAAGAGAGGGGAGACAATCCTAAAGCCATATTAGCCCCAGCCCCATCAGGGCCATACTTTCTAGGCCTCCCTCTCTTCTTCTTCACAGTTTCAACAGGTGTAACAGTAGAAGCCATGGACATAGTAATGCCATGAGCATAACTGGGTGAAGGGTTCTCTATTTGGAATGCGGAGCCCATAGGAGCACCACCACCCCCTACATTTGACTGCACTGAAATGTTAGGGTTTGTAAGGGTCTTATAACCAGGAGGTGCGGGCACCCCTGTTGGGGTCATTGAGCCCCCACCCCCACCGCCCCCAACAACACCAACTCCTACACCAGACCCTGAATTAGACCCACCAACCCCACCACCTCTATTGAGGTAATATGAAGCCATTCCTTCTCTTCCATCCATGCATTTACTCAACGAAATTTAACCCCAAAAAGGACTCCTTTTTTAACCTACTTTGCAATAAAATCCACACTTGCAAAACAAAAATCCACTCTTTGAACAAACCTAGCCCAAATCTAAAACCGACCCCCCCTACAGAAATCTGACTACAAAACCAAAATCTTAACAGAGAAAAGATATACCATAACTTCAAAAAATTAATAAATTAGAGGAAAATCAGAACAAGGGTTTAACATGGGTTTTGGAGAAATCATGGGAAAAAAGCAGACAATTTTGGAAAGAGAAATCTTCAAGTTCACACTCACCAAAAAAGAGTAAAAGATGCAGCAAAACTGAAAAAGATTGAAACTTAAACAAAATTCTTTAGTTAAAGATCACGGAAACCAGAGCTAAATTAAGAAGAATGCTGAAAACCCATGGTTTCACAGACCCCCACAAATGATAGCTCAAAATCGATAGTTCTTGAGAGGGTACTCAGATAGATAAAGAACTAAAGGAAAAAGAAAAAGAAACCCTAGATTTGAAATGGGGGAGAGGAAATGAGAGAAAGAGAGAGACACAGAGAGAGAGAGAGAGGGGCAGCATGAGTTTTGGGAAAGAGGGAGGGAGGGTAAAGACAAAAGTGAAATGAAATAGAAAATACTCTGAACTTTTGAATTAAAGTAAGAGAAGGCTAGCTTTCTTTCTAATTAAAAAAAAAAAGAAAATTCAAAAATTGTATGGTTTAACTTTTAAAATAATAATTTATGGAAAGGGTTTAACTTTTAACTTTCTTTCTAATTAAAAAAAAAAAGAAAATTCAAAAATTGTATGGTTTAACTTTTAAAATAATAATTTATGGAAAGGGTTTCAGGGGGCGATTTAGTGATCAGTGACGGTGTTTCTCTGACTTGAGGTCTTTGAGGGGTGGAGGCTTGTTGGAGGACAGTTGGGTGCACCTAAGGACTACCAACTTGTCCATATCAGAATACTACTACTGGTACATCAAATTTCTTGGGACAGGGTATCCTTTTCTTGCTCTTTATTTGAATCTCTGTACTGCCTTCTCCTTCTGATGAATTCAATGAGAACTTTTTGTGGGATTGCTTCGCGCTGCTTTTTGGACTTGGGATGGAGCATTCATTGACAAGAGACCAGAGTATGACTAATGAGAGAGAAGGACGCTTCTTGTGAGTCACTCGTGAGAGAGAGAGAGAAGAGAGAGTTCAGAGTTGAGTCAAAAGAAGTTTGAAAAGAAAAGAAAAAAACAAACAGGCTGAAACATTTGATGATGGCAAGAAATTTTGGCAGTAGTTCACTTCAAACCAAAAAGAAAATATGCATGGTATGATCAGTTCAATTCCCCATCTCATAAACAGTTGTAAAATCAAATACAAACACTCGCTCAAGTTTAGATCAAGAAGATTTCTCAGAATTCGATGAATACTAGTAGTAATAAGCATGTCTTGAAATGGAGATTAAGAACAGCCATGATTTGACTGAAGAAAGGGGTCATGCTTTTTCTTCTTGTACTTGTTGGAGGAGCTCTCTATGGTATTGCGGTTGAACTATACATTTATTTCGCTTAATTGACAAAAGAATAAAAAATTTACAGTATTTGCTAACGAGTAATTATGATCCTAGTCAAATTCGTTATGCAAAAGAAGTCAAAACTCTTTTGATTAAATAAAATATGGCTGTAAAAGTAGGTAGCCGAAGGAAAGAACAGCCGTTATCCATCCCTCTGCCAAGCATGCAAGAAGTTCAACATTTTGGAAATTGTACCGGGAAGATTCATTTTCCCAATTCAAAATTGCGTCAAGTACTCATTTTTTTCCCCAATTTTAGTACTCATTTTGTATTATAGATATAGACTAGCTCATTTCTTCTGTCAAATTTAGTTCATATTTTGCTGAGCACAATATGAGAATAGTTCGGGTCAGTAAGGGTGAGCAAAATTATCCGCTAATTCGAAAATCCGTCATATTCGATCCGATCTGATTCGAAAATTAGGATATTCGATTTTTATTATTTGATCGGGTCAAAAGAAAGTCGGATACCCGCTAAGATACGGGGCGGGTTAGGATCACATAATAAAAAACATGCGGGTACCCGATCCGCCCCGCATATATATTTTTTATTTTTATTTTTATACACACACTATAAAATAATAATTTAGAACTAAATAAGTAATTTTATTGAACAAATTGCATTACAAATATGAGAGACTATAGTTTATTTACAAAATTCATTTGTAGAAGTCATGATCTTATATTTTATAGAAAAAAATTTAATTAATGTAGAACATATATATTAAAAATTGTGTTACTTATTTCAAACTTTTATTAATTTTGAATTCTTTTAATTTTTTGCCTTTATCTTATATTCTCTTCACATGCTTGTTTGTTAGTGGGAAACCTTTTTTGAGAAAAAAAATTATTAAATCTTAGATGAATGTGTAAAATATAAAATTAAATTAGTATAAATAATCTTTTAAAAAAAATTAAATGATAAATGGGACTGGACGAGTATCCGCTGACCCGACCCTATCTCAGCGAGTACTCTATAATCGAGTACCCGCTGATATGCAGAACGGATAAGGGTCAGAAAATGACTGACCCATAAGGTGCGGGTCGGATCAGTCAAATGATGAATGGAACGGGGTACCCGACCGGTGCTCACCCCAACGGGTCAGTAATCCTACAATCCTAATGTGAAATTTTTAAAAGAATTGACAAAATCTGTAAGGCCATTAATCAGAGTCGAGTGTCAAGTGTAACATTTATGTAACACGAAGACATTTTGTCCTCCGCACTATCATAAATGATGGGATATGGGCAGCACAGTTGACCGTTGACTGTTGACCGCTGCTTTCAAAAGATGTGGCTAATAGACTGTCTTTATTGTAGTGTACGAGCAGTAGCATCCCCATCCAGGCCCAGTCACGGTGGTGCCCGTACCGAACACAAAATGACACATGGTCATCTTAGTCGAGCGTTCAGGCATCTATGCTTGCTTAAAATTTAAAACATGTACTATAACAGTAGTGCATTTCTTTGGTTTAGAAGCGAGATCTACTCCCTCGAATTTCCTTTGGCCCAATTAAACCCCCTAGCACTGATTAGACACCGATCTACGTAAATTTGTTGAAGCTTGAAAGTTTTTCTACATCAAGAATTTCACTATTTTGCCAAGTTAAAAGGGTCCCAATTTGAGCACTCCATTACAATTCTGGTCCTAATTTGAGCGCAGTCCATTATAGTTCTGGATTAGACCAGCAATAATGACCATATTTCATGTATCCTCCGCTAGGAAGCCATGCAAAAAGATCGAATATGGAGGCATCTTCCATCTCCACCGGCAAATTGGAAGCACTAGATATTTCTCATAAACTCAGCATTCAGACTGTAATAACATGATAGCCCCGTTCTTCAGTACTACGCTACATACACTTGACCAAGTTGCAGAAGGCCTACTGCAAAAGATGCGTGATGATGCGTTCCCACCGAAAGAATCAGTGCTACTCTTAAGAAAATCCTACTTGGTCGATTCTGAAGTGTGACTTCTATTCACGAAATCCAAGTATCCCTGTCAAAGATAAGCACTTAAATTAGATCCCAAAATGAAACAATGAAACATCTAATTCAATCGCAAACAAATCAAGTATAACTTAAAGCTAATGGGAAATAAGACCATTATGGTTTAGATATGAACATTCAACATCTGAAATGCTCCTAATTTTACCCAATTAAAGGATATCACAATAAAACTAAAATACACTGCAATTATCAAACTGGTAGCTCAGCAAGGTTCCCATGAAGACGAAAAGACTTGGTAACAAAATACACTGCAATGATCAAGGTATTTTTTTTTTTCCTTTTTTCCTTTAACGCAGGGGAGGAGTGGAATTTAAGAAGCAGGGAGTGCGAACAGGAATTTGAACTCAGGACTCTGATTCCTAAGGCCTCAACCTTAGCCTCTAGACCTAGGCTTCCTTGGCACAATAATCAAAATGGTAACACTGCAGAGTTATCTGACCAGAAATTGCTTCTTACCTCTTACACAGGCTAATCTACCAAACTCAGTCATACTCTACAATTTATATAATCAAAACTTCAGTACAATGGGAAGATTATTGTGACCTGTAGGATTCCAACAGCAGCAAATTTGTCCATTATTGTCTTATAATGAACAGGGTGCAAATTCAGTGGCTTCAACAGAAATTCCACATTCTGCAAAGAAACCATTCACATTATTATTTGCTAATGCCACCATTAGATGAAAGGGCTAGAAAAGATGAGGCTAACTATCTACAAAAGAAGAAAGAAGACTATCAAATCAGTAATATCAAGATGAAACACATTTCACAGTTTTGGCAATTCCAGATCTGATAGATTCCTTCAATCTGGTAATACAATCTAAGCATGACTATATCCAGAATGAAGATTTGCATTGCAATTTTAAGTACCAACAAGGAGGTTGCAAACATCTAATGATTAGGAACCATTTCATGCTATCAACTGCTTCCCTTGATAAAGGCCATTCAGTATCATAAAATTACTTCTTCAATATCAGCGGTTAGAAGCACCCACCTTTGAAGTAAAACACTCATCCCAGAAAGTATACCTTACACCTTCAAGTTTCCCTGTTTTACAAAGATCATCAATGAAAAGCTTCACTTGCACAGCCTGCAGGAGAGAACAATAATGAATCAGGGGAAGACGAGCCATTATACTTGTGAAGAGAGAATCCATATCTTTATATTTCACTGAATAAGATATAGTTCACTGAAAGAAAAAGAAGAAGAAGAATAAGAGGAAAACACACATCTGCGCTGTTCCTCTGTTGTCTATCAAAAGGATAGCCAATTACAAAGCCTGTCAGGGAAAGTTGAGAGATCTGCAGACAGAGAAAGCATATAAGAAATGAATTTAAATTTCATCAAAATAATCTAGATATTCAGGTTATAAAAATCCACTATGCAATTAGAAGCAAGAGTGGCATCATAATCCATGTAAATGCGAAAGATAGAAACTGAAGGATTGAATCTTTTGGTTCACAAAGTATGCAATTCATATTGGTACCTTCAAAAAATTCAGAAGGAAACAAAAGTGCAGAAGGCAAAAAGGCAATATCATTAGTTCTTTATGTTTATTCCATGAAACATCTTAAAGTAAAATAGGTGTATTCCCCCGAAGAATATTCATATCAACAAATTCAAACAGCTCTGAAAACAATAAATCATAAAATTAAAACATCTGGAACAAAATAGTCATGCCCAATCTTAGGACTGTGATCTTAATTGAACAATTTACCGTCAAAAGCACAACTTTTCCATCAGTGATACAAGTTATTTTTAATGATCATAGGACTACTACAACTCACTCCATCCACAGTTTAAAGTAGCATCTCAGCAGTAAAAGCAACTTGCCATAGGTGCTAGCTTAAGGATGCTTTCATTCAAGAAGATAGTGATGAATAGTTTCTTCAGTTAAATTCAGTGAGGCACCTCTAACAATAGAAGCTTAATAAAATTACTCTAACAACCCAATACCCAATTGGAAAAATAATCCAAAATAATCATCTTTAAGTCAAAAGATCCAAAAATAAACTCTACCCACTGTCTTGCTCAGTGCAGATGAGTTAGTTAAATAAACAAAAAGAACAATAAAAAGTTAATACTAACCAGAAGTTCAAAATCACTGGCCATCAAGTCAATGTTACTTTTCTTCCGTAGCAGAACACTGCAAACAGACGTCAACCATGTTCATCCCATGCATTGTAAAATCATAGTAAACTACTCTACATTACTTTAAAAATGTTCTCGGGGTCCTCCGACACATTCATTATAATCATGGAAGACCGCAATTCTTAAGCTCCTAGATAGGCAAATATTACCTGAGAGGTGATGCGATTTTGTTATTTACATCAGAAACAGCTAAACCCACATATTTATCACCGACATCTAAACCAAGTAACCGGCTTCTGTTCCGTGAGTTTGTCTTTGTCAGTTCTTGAAACAAGTTCGCGGGCTTCATGTACTTCATCCCTGTAATGCATCAAATTCCATAGTGCAACTTTAGAAAACACCTTCTAAAGTAAAAGCGTAGATTAATGAGTTAATTCAAGAAAAGTAAAGTAGTAGCTAAAACTATTCTGAGCAGTAATCAGAAAAAAGAAAAACAACCGAGCAACTTCAGATAGACATTTCCACAAACACTTGGTCCACTAGCATACTTGTTTTATAAGGGCTTCGGGAGTTGGGACTCTCTCTCTCTCTCTCTCTCTCTCTATCTCTTCACTTGTGTACATGTACGTAAATCGTAGTGTTCGGAAAAGAAGCGGGAGAGATTTACCTTCAAATGGAAAATGCAGCCCAGAGCCTGAAATTATACGACCAGTTTTCTGGAGAGGGAGGATGCAGTAGTTGAAAATCGTTTCTTAAAACAGCTGGAAAAAAAAAAACAAAAGAAATAATTTCTAATAGGCCTCTATGACTATGAGATTGAAGGCGACCGACACTGGGCTGATTGCAAGAGTGGATCCATGGGGATGCAGTGCCCAATGGGGCATTTCAACTGGCTCATTCGCTAGAACCATGTTTGGGCTGCTAAGGGGCCAATAGGTCCAGTACGGCTAATTTCCTCTTATTTTTATTTTTCCTTTATTTATTATCTATAAAAAGTCCGATTTGTCTTCGGGTTTACTTTTGGTTTTCCATCAGGATTGAATTACTTGATTAAGTAGTTTGATTGGTATACTGCTCAAAGGAAAAAAATCGAAATAAATATTCATTTGGTTTGACCTTTCCAGTTATAATAGAATATGCACTTGCAAGTATAAATATATGAAATACGTGCAGAACTTCAAATTCAAATGCAAATTATGACTGTGCAGTATATATCTAAACTCACTAATATATATACATTGTAAAAAAGATTAACCATATTCATTTATGTATTGAATTCTTGTAACTACTTATTACGTATAGGGGTTTCAACCACTAAGTATTTTCAATGATGATTGAAAATGTGAAATCAAACGAAGAAAGTGCACTATCAACATTAATGCACATCACGTTACCTATAGGTCCATTTGGGATTGCGGGCGTTTACCCAAAAAAAAAAAAACACATTTAAACACAAAGCATTTCTAAATTGTTTGTTCCCATAACTTACCAGTTTTTGATAGCTTAAAAACAATTATGTATGATTAAAAACAGTTTTGGTAGAAGTAGTTCTATAAGAAGTATTTGCAACTCCAAACGAAGTCTAAACTAGCATAGAAAATTTGAGTTTTGATTTTTGTGTCCTTAACATTATAGCCAACTTGACATGGAATGTCCTAATAAGTTAACACTATAACTTCGACTTTTACCCTACACTTACAACTTAAAAAGTAAAAACCAGACACGGCTCCAAGAAGGATATCGATTCCAAAGACAGTGAATGCAAAATTTGCTACAAAAATATTTACTACAAGAAGTGATGCCAACTGCATCGTGACAACCAAAATGGCCCAGCATACGTAAAAGTTCAGATAATTGCCAAATTTTGATCAGCATGGACGGAAGCCATGTTGACTTGAAAATGGAGAAAATGTAATCCACCAAGTCATTGTTCAAAAAAAGGAAGAGAAAAAAATGGCCCTCTATTTTATTTTCTATTCTGGGTTATCTAAAGACTACGAAGTAGATTAAATTAGAAAAAACAAGGAGGGGTCGTGTAAGAATCAATTGAATCAATTGAATGAAATTGATGTCTATCAACAACAATATCAGCTATTTCGTACATAAATGAATGGAGAGAGGCTCTTGAGCTCTGCACGTTTTCGTGCCAGTCTTCTGAAAGGCTTTCGATTTCTCCATAGCAATCTTTCGATACCACTTGCATGCCTCGAGGCATCCTTTATTACTGGCACATGACTTTTTCTACTGGATTTGGTGCTTCCTGACTTCTTTCTAAACTCTGTGCGACTTGGAGAAGGCGTCTGGGGCTCTTCCACTTTGCCACTGGTAGATCCGCTGAATCATCCAAGAAATAGAATCAACATAGATTATCAGCATCAGTGATGACAAACACCACGATGACAAAACTAAAGAATCAATCGTCTTTCATTTATTCATCAAGGAATAATGAAAACTTTTTGCCTGTAACATCCCAGAGCAACAAATTGCACAACAAAGAAAACACTCCAAAAGCTCCCTCCAATAAATGGGATGTATTAAGAGCACCAGGGACTTGCCTCTCCTGAGTCATCGGCGTCGATGAACACGCATCTTCTCCGGCATGTGAATCACATGCTGGACATATGTAAATCTTTGGTGGCGAGGATAATTTGATGCAATCAAAGTGATACCATTCATCACAATTATCACAGGCAATCATTGCTCGTTGATCATACGGTCTTCGGCAAATACAATAAAGCATGCTTCGATCCCTCAGTAACTGCATGAACCGAGCACAAAGAGTGTAAGAGCAATGAAAAATAGAGGATGCGACCGCTCAAAAGAAAAAGAGGTGCCTACGTGCTCTCAAACACTTGTTTCTTGTTACCTTAAGTTCCTTTTCACAGACCAATGGTAGATCTTCACCCTGGGCAATTAGATCAAAAACTTTATCAAGTCCCAGTGCTCCACCATCCATCGAGACCTATTGACAGGAAGACAATGAGCAATTGCACAATAAAAAGTAAAACCATCCTATAATATGATACTACAGCAATATGCCAGACCTTCTTGGCTGTATCAGCCCATTGCAGGCCAATATGCTTCACTTCTGTTAGTCTCCTTGTAAAGTAATCTTCTGGAGGAACGTTTATAGCCAGACCCTGGAAAAAAACATAAAATGTCATCAGTTATACGCCTATGATCATGAATGGCATTCTAGCCATAATTCCATGTTTGTGCTAAAGTAGGGCAATAATTTTGTATTTGCACAAAACCAAGGTTTATAACATGTCAGTACAAAATCATTGTCATCTTCAGTAAAGTTGCAAAAAACATGCTATATGAATAACTTTCAGCAAAGTTGATAAGCTCCAATCCAAAGAGGTCATAATAGTCTTCAAATATTCTAGTCAAGTATTAGGACCTTGGTATTCCTGAAATTTTGTCCAACCCAATTGCATGATATCTATTTAATCCATGCTTACCACAAGAGTTGATATTCTGATCATGCTCATGAAAATCTCAGGAAATTGTATCCCCATTTTTACGTAATCATGCACAACTAAAAACAGCCCATATACCAGAGAACACATAAATAATCATTCAGTTCATCAGCGCACAAAGAGAGAGAGTACACAAATGCTAAAAGTTACATTACAGATCTCATAAAACAATTAAAGGGTTATACCTCTTTCAAGTGCCTCTGGACTTGTTGCAATGAGGGCTTTTGTGGACCATTTAATAATTTCTGTGCTCTAACCTTCCATGAATTTCTTGCTAATACAAGCTCAAATTTGCTGTTGCCCTCACCATCACAAATGCCAGCACTATCTAATGCCTATGAAAGATGGAAACTGCTCCAATCAGAAATACACAAAAGAATACAAGGCAAGGATACCTTGTATTTACCATGACCATGATCAAAAGAAGAACTGAAAAAGAGGATGCTATCAAATACATAGGACACCCACTAACAGATGTCTAAGCAAATTAAGTTGAGAAGTTGACAGTATAAGATGAAATGATGAGAACCTTCAACGCGACCACAAGTTTATCAGAGAAACCACTGAGATCTCTGTCTTGATAAGATAATGCATAATCTACTATTTCCCTTAAGCAAGCCCTGCATTCAAGAGCTTTCTTCACAATTTGGTCAAGTACACTTCTTTCTTCAATCCTGTCAATAGCATAGCATTGTCACTGACTAAGTTCAGATTATCGCCTTTATCGTATAAATAAAACTGACCTTGACTAAGAATGAAAAGTGTTTCAAAGATATAAATAACTTCATAAAACAACAGGAGACCTGAAATAGGGAAAAAGGCTAGCCAAAAAAGCACGTTATACAATAAAGCTCTCTGTTTGCAGAGTAGATTATCTCAGAAACAGGAAATACTAAGTGCTACCTCTAGAATATGGAAGAAGCTCAAGAAAACAGTTTATCAAATTTCACAAAAATTATGACATCTAGATGAAAATCGATACACACAAAAATAAAACGCGTTAAGAGAAATTACCATAAACAAAGACCCTCAGCATCTGATAAAAGCTCAATGAGCTTATTCAAATCAGGACATTTCCGCCCAAATCTCTGCACAAATCAAAAAAAAAAAAAAACACTCAGAAAGGACTTAGCACTGCATGAACAAACGTACTTTGACAGAACATTATTCGTACCAGAATGCCACATCTGCTCCTAGAGATTTTTCCACTTCTCACAAACATGCAGTAAGGGCAAACATATGTTGTATCACTTTTTGCATCTTCAAGTGATGACCCAATGCACTGTAGGTGAAAACTGTATACAATAGCCAAGGGACAAGCTGAAATCAGAAGTTTTTAGACCTAGATAACTCATAAAGATATTCCTTATTTATTTCTAATGGTGCCCTTCCTCCCTGGTCCCCAGAAGAAAGCAAATTATATCAATATTAGAGTAGAAACCAAATCCCCCTGTGGCACAATTTGCATCTAAACTTGTTTCCAAGGTAATTTGGAAACAAAGTTTCCCCCTGTGGCTCAAAGAGAGTATACAGGAGGATAATAGGGCTAAGGTCCCTTTATGTAACTAAAATCTTGTATTGTCAAGTTCATATATGTATAACAAGAATACCGTTTGGGAAAAAAAAAAAAAGAGTAGAAACCAAATCCCCAAGAAAGATCATGAAAAAATATCCCCAAACAGCTCTTTTTCCAAAGTGAAGCAGGAATGTTCAGTCATCACTAAGCAACCGGGAAACTAACCAATCGTTGCAAATACAGCAATTAACAAGCTTCTGATCATCAGAATTTTGGGAACAACAGATGCATAAAGCTGTTGTTTTGCAGGAGTTAAACTTGTTGTAGATGTAGAACGATCTATCAAGACTTTTCTTTATCTGCAAAATGTTTAAGAGAATCCACAAACAGTTAGAAATGAAAGCATAGGTCAGTAAATTATTAAACGTGACCAGAGAAGTATGACAAAGCATGAATTAAGTAAACCTCTAAAAGACTTGAAGTCAACAAATTTGTATCGCCAGCAGAAGCCCCAGCAACGTTCCTGCAATGCTGCTTCCACTGCTCTACCTTTTGCACTTCAGCCAAGACCATGTCCAGTTCTGGGCAATTAAATGCGTTGGTGCTTCCAACTTCCTAAACATGCATCCATTAGATAATCAGTGATTAACCACCATGAGATAAAATGCTATGCTAAAATCCTGTATAACACTGCAAACTCTGGGTACCACCTGAGAGGGTAAATGGCCAAAATTCAAGTTCAACTACAATGCAAGCTTAGAGGGAACAGCAGGTTACCATGACAAGGTCATGCCAACTTCCAAAGTTTGGAAGACTACATGTACATGCTCATATAAGCATACCTTGCAAATGCACTAGATTTCTGAAAGCTAAGCAGAGAATAAGGTTCATTACTTTAACGCCTTTAGTATCACATAACATCGAAAACAAAACAAGCATAACCAGGTCAGACAGATGATGTTACAGAAGCAGGGTACTGCATGGGAAAATCCAAGAAGTTTGTGACTGCAAGGATAGACTCCGCCCCAGCAGAATAAGATAAACCAAAATAATAGAATACATGACTTTTTTTAAAAAAAATTCATTTATGTATTTTTTTGGGAATGATGAGGGATAGGTATTTCTGGAAGTTGAATTAATCAAGAAACAGTCTTTTACCTTTAAATGCAGCAATGACAACCATGATCTATCACTGCAGTCCTGGTTGAAAAACAAATGTACTCGCTCCAGCCACAAGCTACAAACAGCCGAGTTCTCATTAAAGCATAAACAGATTGACAAAAACCAACAGAAAAACTAAGAAAGAATTCAAATGACAGAATCACGCCCTCAGATTAGACGGGGCTGCTTCTCTCTTTATTTTTCTTTACTGAAGGCAGATAATCAAACAGGTTTTTTCTTAACAAAAAATTGAGCTTAAATTATGCGGTAACTTTTTTGCTTAACATACTTTGAGTTTAAATTATGCTATAACTTATCTTCTTCAATTCCTACTTGTTTAAGAAAAAAATTTGTTGAACATTAAAAAAAAATCCTCCTCATTATGTTTAATTTTGTTTCTACAGGTTTGCAAGGAAAAGAATTTAGATGATGCTGGCCTTAACATATCATTGACTCTACAATATCTAAACTAGTGCAAGGCCAAATGGTGCAATTGTAAATGCTTAAAAAGGTTTTAAAGTTTCAAATATTGAATACATTCACAGACCAAGTTCTTCTTCTCTTTCTTTCACTTTTTCCCTTTTGAACTTTTTGATCGGAATGGAAAGTGACAAACAACAAAGCAGTTAACTAGGAAAGCAAAGAATGCTCAAAATAAAGAATCAAGCTGAAGACACACAGAAATGAAAAATTTAAAAGAAAGACAAAGATGGGGGAGGTTCTCTGGCTGCTGAAAATGGGGGAGTAGTCCTAAACTGCAGAGTACCGCTGCGTATCTGTCAAAGCACTGTTTTTATAAGAAAGTGGAAGTATAAATGTAGATTAGGCATTAGTTAGACAATTGCAGGGTGACCTTCAATCAGATAAACAAACCTCCGTGAAGCCCACTAGTTTTGAGCAACGTCTCCAAAATTTCCATGAAAGAAACAAAGGAGAATCCCAAGGGGCAGGAAAATCATAAAAGGCTTTCTTGTTGGGCTCACATAAGTATCTTTCTATCCCGGGGGCAGGAAAAGATAAAATGTGGTCTCAACTGTTAAGGTGATATTGATAAGACACCTTTATAGAGCTTCCCCAGGGTAATTCTTCAGTGAAGTACTAGTAGCAAGAACTCTTTTTTGAGAGCAGGGTCTAATTTCCTGAAATAAATTCTATGTTCACAAGGCTTTCTTTTTCGGGTCTCTTCACCATCTTTTCATTTACCAAACTAGCTCAACAGGAATTATACTACATGCACATTGAACTTTCGCAAGCAACAATAGTGCAATTGATTATATCACGGAGATCAAAGAATTTAAGAAATCCAGCTGGTGGAAAACTATTATTCTCATCTAAATTATAGTTTCATGCTTCTATTCAGAATTCATAAAATATAAGCTTTAACCTCAGCACAAAATAAGTACACTAACAAAATAAAGCATCTAGACTATAGCTTTTTTAATTACATATAGCTAATACACTGTCAAAGGAGTATGAACATAAAAGAAACTCACTTGTGTTTCTCAACAGCTTTCTGAATATGACCAATCATCAAAGGGAACGAGACAACAGTTTTCTGCAATTTGACACATCAGATTATACAGGGTACATACAGAAACACGCATGAATTGATTACTCAGAAATGCAGAAAACACAGAGGTAACATCCGAACCTAGCATGATACCTGAGGTGCAACTAGAAAATGTTTGCCATAAATATATAGGGGACATAGATCTATGAATACAAGCTTCTACAAACCCCTAGGAGAATACTGCACACCCCCTTCTTAATTCCCGTTAAATGAGCCCAGATGCGATGGAAATTGTTTCTAAACGAGGTAGAGAAATAAACAAGCATGTCATATACCTCAGACAGCTCAAGAACTTCCACAGCATCACTCAACTTGATCTGTCTACTGCTACATGGAGGGAGAATTTCCAAGGCTTTCCTAAGCCAATCTATTCCACTAAATAGTGAGGTCCGTAAAGCACAGGATGCAAATGTCACAGGTAGATGGTGGGAATCCTCCAAACATGCCTCAGCTTCCTATAACAAAATTAGAGATGTATAACCTTAATGCATTGGCCATAATAACATGTGAACAATAAAATCATAAATGCAATCTTGTGGACAAAAAAGACATGTTATAACCTAAATAGTAATCACAATTCTTGAAATCTTAGATATAGGCAAGTCATCCATGTTAAAAGATGGGGAATAACCAAAAAGGAAAATATGCATCATCACCATCAACCATGACATAATTCATCAATCTAAAACAGAAAAAATATGACCAACTTTGCTGCTTTTAAAGATATGAATATCCAAAATCCAACCTTTTTGAAGGTTTGAGCAAAAACCCAGACTCAACCCACACTTTAGCAGCCACCACTTGGCTCCAGCTAAAAAAAACATACTATTAACATGCACAAATTTTTTTTCTCCATTAACATTTAAAGTATCACAAACCTGAAGCGTGGGAATAACATTCCAGAAAGAAAGAGCTTTAGAGCACCATTGAAGCGTAGAACATGCATCTTGCAGTTTTGGCATAGCAGCAAACTCGAATTTAAGACATAGACCAGCTTGAGTGATGGATTTCAATAACAACAATTGACTTTCAATTTTTGAAACCAGACTACCAGAAATTCCACAAGGCATAACATCAGTATTCAACAGAGAAACTGCAACATTCAGCAAGGAACAGGCATTTTGTTCCCACTCCATGCATTGTTTTAGAATTGTTTGAAGCATTTCTCGTTCTCTGAGAGATATCTTCAGAAACTTTGAATCTGAAACCAACACCTGGAAAATTTTATGGAGCATCAGAAAGCATCCAATGTCTAGACACCCAAAAGAAGAAGAGAAGACATTTAAAAAAAAAAACCTTTAGGGTATCAAGTTGGAGCAAAGAACTTGAGGCATGTGAAACAGATGAATCAGAAAACAAAAATGGCTTGGATTTGCTCAACCAGGTCTTTGTCATTGACATGGCATCCTTAACATCATCAAGTGAAGGGAGAATAACACGTATATCTTCAGAAATCCTAAATTACCAAGTCAAAAAATTAAAAAATGAAAATAAAAGAGTAAAAAACAACTGAATAGAATAGTATATCAAGAAATAAAACCTTAAAATATCCTCAAATTCAGACATCCCAGCCTCCTGATTAAGAACATCTTTTGCTTTTTCTTCCCAATGCTTAGCAACTACAAGCACCGCAGAAATATCAACAAATGGCTTCTCTTTTTCAATCTGTAGCCTGACATATGTTGGATATGAGATTTACAAAATTAGCATGCAAATGAAATAACATATAAAGTCTTCCAAGTTTCTAAGGAATATAAGGAACATACATAGTTGCTTCCTCCATCAATTCCTCAAGCAAATTCATTTGCACTTTAGATTGAAGTGCCTATACAAAATTTTACATACTTTCAGTGAATTAATAAACTAAAAGAAAGAAACAAGTAAAGCTCAAATAAAAATGCCAGGAACTGCAAATTGAGAAAAAAAATGCTGAGTAGAGTGCATAAAATGGGCAGGTCAACAATCAGAAATCATAACCTAAAAATTTGTTTTCCCCTAAAATGGGGAATATAAATGAGGTTAAATTGCTGAATGCAGGATTAAACACACAACACATGAGGAACTAATGAACCAACGGATATTCCACACACACACACACACACAAAGAATGGCATATGGAGAGCTACCTTCAAACCGTTCACCCTGCAACAGGCCTTTTTCAGCTCAATGTCAACAAGAGGCAGCTCTTCAACTACATTTGTTTTTATAAAGGTAAATTAAAAATAGTAAGCACCAAAATCCAGAGAAATGAGAAAAAGTCAAAGCCATATGCAGGGAAAATACCTCGAACTTTTAATGACACCCCATCCCTTTGAATGGATGTTAATTCATCAACAACATTTTCCTGATCCTCTCGGCAATCAATGTTCGCCAAAACTTGATTCGCACGAGACTTCCATGACATAGCATCATGATGGTAACATCTAAGAAGTGTTAGTTCTGGGATGTCAAAAGTAAAATCATCATATCCTTCAATAAGCAGCTGAAGTTCCTGTACAAAAATCAATTCCAGCATCCATTAAATTTCAGTGCAGAACACCTCTGTGTGAAGAATAAACAGTATCTATGAAGTCCTGACCTTCAGGCTTATAGAATCTTTTAAAATCTCATTACACCGAGATCGACAAGATTCTACTTGGGTTATCAAATCCAAAAGTATTTCACTTTCAGGAAGTTGGACTTTAAGCTCCAACATCTGATACAGAGAAACAGAAACTTAAACACCCAAACATAAAAGCAATAAAGCAGCAAATTAAAAAATCTACCAAAATCACCTGAGCCTGCAACTCATAGAGGATATCTGCGTTAACTGCACCTGGCAATTTCTCATTGAAGCATTTTCTGACACTTTCAACCCAAACCTGAAGAGCCTCAATGGTAGCAAAAGATAAGAATCCAAATGAAACAGATAGACCATATAAACCATGACAGGAATGCATATAAAGAGGAAGAAAGCTTGCCAAAGATACCATAGCATCTAGTCAATCAATATGCGATAAAATACATAAATATCCTAATATAAGGAATTCCCACCCATCTTGAGCAAGTCTCTCTAATATAACGTGACAGCATAACCTAGAAATAATTAGAGGAAGTACCTTTACCGAAGACATCCTCTGGAATAATTTCTCACTTTCTTTCACGTACATAGGTGAGACACAGGTCTTGGAATATAAAATCTCCCAATCAGCTATCTGAGGTGGGCATTAGCAAACATCAACTGGGGGAAAGGGAAAATTAAATGAAATGAAACAGATTACAACTTGAAATAAAGCAAAGGAAAACCAGCCAAGCAATAGAGTCATCAAAGCTGCAGTAGTACCGCCCACCAAATATATGTTGTCATAAGCACAATTTAACAACCAAAAGTGGAGGCATTAATTTCGAAGAGCATACTTACAGAAACTTTTCCACACATAGGGAGAGCACAATCAATTTCTTCAATCAGCTTCGCAGCTTCTTGTTGGTACTCCTACACACAAAATGGCGAAAAATGATAAAAGGGAGATAGAGATCATAAATGAAGACCTGCCACGCGCGCGCGTGCGGGCGGGGGTGGTGGTCATCGAGTTGAACCTTAAGTTTAAGATGGCAAGGCTCATTGCATGGCACAGGATCTACAGACAGCAACTTGTTAACATGATCCATCTGTACCCTCCCTGTACCTTGATGGCAATCATGTGACCAGGATTCCAATTTAGAAAGGCTATCTCTTACATCTTGTGCCCAGTTCTGAGCTTCAATCAAGTTCTTTACTGTGTCTCGGACCTATACCACAAGGAATATATAATTTCTTGAGTACAGAAATGAGTTTTTGAATTAGCACAAAGTGTAGGTTTGAAAATTGAAACTCACAGGGTCCATTTCAGAACCAGCCCAAAGGAATTGTTCGGCTTCTTTTATTGCACTGGCATAAGAATCAGCAGAGTATGGTCTCTGAAGAATCTTGCAGGACTTTGACAGCCATCTTTCAGCAAGTTGAACGTGTGTGATACATCCCCCTTTAATCTACAAGGGATGAAGTCATTTCAGCTAGAAAACAATGCCAATAAACTTGACAGATTGTTATGCCAAAGAAAAGAAAGGAAAAAACAAGGACTTCATTGTCTTTTACTCATGAAAAGTAAAAGAAAATGCATTCCAAACCTTCTTTGATAAAGCAACTGACTCATTAGAAGAAGAAAGTTGCCCTTGCAAGCTTCTGTCTTGATCCCCAGAACTGAGTTTATCAGTCATAAGCACCAGAGCCTTCAAATCTGCCAAAGTATGACGATAAAGGAGACGGTGCTTGCTAGCCTTACATTCACAAAGATGTTCCCAGTGCTGCATCATATGAAAGAAACAATAAGCAACTATTGGGATGGTGGATAGCTGAAAGTTCTAGCATTTTGTTAACCAGCCAATTCAAGGAGAACATACTTCCAAAAGGTTGAAAATGACTTGAAGTGTATAATTTACAAGCCATAATATCCTTCAATTTTGGAAATGAAATAATTGGATGACAAAAGCAGTATAAAGTCAAAAGGTAGAAGATAAAAGCAATAAAATAAAAATCTGAACATGGGCACGATATTGAACCATAACTGCAATAGTAGTGAACCTCAGAGTTTGTATTGCACAAACAAACAACAATGATACCTATATCTTTCCAAGCAGCTAACTTGGGCTGAGGGCCTAAGAGTCTTACAAAAATCTGTTAACTGACAGAAAAAGACTACACAGATATACAGCCCAAACCTTTATGTTGCAGAAGCTTGATGTAAAAATCTTAGTTTTTCATTGATGGAGAGCAATTTAAAAACTTGTAATAACAAAACAACAAATGAAAATGGGTAAATAATTAATGCCTGAGTCTTTCAAGATTCCTTACCTCTAGACAAACAAAAGCTGATGGTCTACAGCGGCAAACAACAGCAGAAAGATATAGAAATTGTTGACATATGATGCATGTTGGATCCTTCAAGCATTATGTCATACTGATCAGAAATGATGTTCCTCAAACCATAATACTGCAGCTTATTAAAGCTCCATGAACAAGATACAAGTTACAGAGATACCTCTTCGCTACCAACATGTTCAGGACGCTTACGAGGTGACATGGTAGAAGAACGAAGAATCCCATTTTTCCAAAGCTGCTCCCTCCAGACCTTTTCATTCTCATATACCCTTATCAATTCCTTTCTCAAGCAGACTGATGCTCTGCTATCAAAGTTGCTCTGCAAGAAAGATGGATTCCAACTATAAAACCAGAATAGCATGGAACAAGGACAGAAAAACAAACGACGAACAAGTGAAAGCCAGAATGATGAAGATTACAGATCTATTCACATGAGTAGCTCAATAAAACAAAAGACTAGAAGCAAGGAATACAGTTTTTGTTTGGCAAGTTAAATTTGTCACAAGTAACAGTGGATACCGAAGCTATGAACCACTCGCCAATATCACAGAATGTTCCAGAGAATATGCTAACCATTAACTTCATTCTTTATATCACTAAATTAGTGAGTATGAACTTGTTTCTAAACAAAGGCATAATTTATCAAAATGACATTTTCAGAAACAAAATTAGCTCATGTGGATACTAATGGAGAACAATAAATAAGCATGCATAGCAGATGTTTCTTCTATTCAATCCCACGTGCCAGCTCTTCCAGAGTTAAAAAGAGACCACGCCAATTGGGGGAATGACCACACATAAGGCCCCACAAAAATGAAACGAAGGTTCCGTTTGATAAAACTGAATCTGAATTCTAAAATATGAATACTGAAACAATTAATTTGCTAAATTTTAAGCATTGAAAAGAAATATATGAATGCCTGAATTTTAATGCTAAACCTATTTATACTGTTTGATAAACATTTATAACTGAATGCTTAATAAGTTAATAGATAGATTTTCATTTATCAAATACTCAAAATGTCTGAATGTCTGAAAAAGTTCAGTTTCAGCACTTTTTTATGTTATCAAACAGACCGTAAATGGCAAAATAAAAAAAGAATCTTAGGAAACTAAATAGCAAAAAAGATGCTCATCAACTTTTAGAAATATTTCTTCCAACTATCAGTTGAAAGTTCTTATGAATCAAGTTACACAGAATTAACTGCAAAAACAAAATTTAGCTGCTAATAAAGCCCGAGCTAGAACTTTATATAAGCCTCTTCCAATATGAAAAGCAGCAACACTAAATTCACCATAGAATGACTCAATTAAAAATGATAACCACCTAAAAGCTCAAAACAAATGAAACAAGGGAAATATCACATTCTCACAACTAAAGGCTTTCTGAATACTATAAAGTAAGACAATCTAAAGATGACTTCATGGATCAAACTGCATGCTTGGAGTTTAATTCTCCACCTTCTAAGTTAAGACCATAAACTACTGTGCCTAATGGAGGGGGCCGGAAAAAAGGAGAAGAAGTGGACCTTTGCTACCACACATAGGAGTTCCTCATGGGATAATACAGCAGGTTTGCGATAAAGTTTGTATAGTTCTGCTCCACGACCTCCATAAGGCAGCCAGTCAGCAGGAGCAAAGTTGACTGCCTCAGCACAATTTAGTCCTGTTCATTCAAAGTTAATCAAAAATTAACCGACGAGGTCATCTACAATCATGCAACTAGATGACCGAGACCTCCATTGAATCAAAAGTTAACCACATTTCTGCTTACCCAGGTTGAAGCCTCCATGATAAGATCTAGGGAAGGTAATGATAAAGTTTCCAGGCTCCTAAAGAAAAGCAATTACAAAAATTAGTATTTCAAATATACCTTCAACAGAAGAAGCGGAATACCACTTACACCATTTACAGCACTATAATGAGTTATTACTTTGCAAGCAAAGTGAAAGTTATGACAATAAGGGCATGTTCCAAAAGAGAGAGAGAGATGAAAGACTTCACCAAGATTTCAATTATTTATTGATTACTTTCAAAGACAAAAGAACAAATCATGCATAGTCTTTCTTTTATGAATTATATGTTGGGGATGGCAATCCTGCATATTTGAATTGCTCAACTCCAATATAACAAATTCCACATTTTGTGTTCTGGAAAAGGACTTCGCCAAGCTCTAGCAACAAGGACCTTTGCTTGGCTGTAAAAGAAGCAAAAATGGGATAAGGAAAGAGTTTTTATCCTGTGTTTCCACATGCATAATAGCAACAAATCACAATTTTAGCATACATGAGCAATACAGAATTATCTTGAGAATATCCTGTATTTCCGCAAGTACAATTACATTAAATCACAACTTTTAATATACATGAACATTACAGAATTATCTTAACAAGAGCAAATTACATTTTTTGTTTACTATTACTCTTCAAACTCTAAATTTTAGCTTCCAGCCTCTCAAGATGTATAACTGAAAGACGAAAACCTTTAAAAGAGTTCAGAGTACCATGCATCTCAAATCCATCCATCACGGTAACAGAATATGCAATGCATAACTGTGTTGACAATGTAGAACATCACCTGAAGCACACTGTAAACAGGAACACCACTTTCTTGCAAGACACTAGGATTCAGCATGGTTACAAGCTGGAACAACAAATCTGGTTGTGCATCAAACAGATCAGGAAGACTGTTTTTCATCACCTACAGAAAGATGAAAATTACTTCTACAAGCATGCACTTGACAAAAAGGAATAAAAAGCCAAAAGCAAAAAGAACTGCTAATTCAAGTACCAATGAAAACTTTGTAACACACATTTGAGGGATAGAAAAACCAAGGTAAAGCACCAAAAGCATAATTCCTTACAGCCAAACACTTTCTTATCCACATTCTGATTCATTAAAAAATTCAATTAAAAGTACGTGATCGCCTTATTTTCGTATTTTTTCTCCTTGCAGGGTGAGAGTGGGAACCAAGTTACATAATTCAAAAAGTAAGCAGCATAACCTTAAAAATCACAAATGCACTTGAGCATAGCAACTGAAGACAAGTTACCAGAAAAAGTATAGCAAGCTCTAAAATGCTTAGATAAATCAGAGCTTGGTATAGGAACAGATATTTAGATCCAACAACCAGAAAAATCACACATCTAATCCCATAGAAAGTTGATAAACGTAGAGGAAATAACTCAGTCTGCAACCCATTATAACATTAGTGAAAGATGCATTTACAAGCCCATAAGTACTTATGACATCTATAATTCAAGACATATAGGATTTCAACAACTTCTCAGTCCTGCTTTTAGGAAGAAGAGGCATAAACGCAGGCTGAGGTCCTAGACACTGAGAGCCGAAATACATTGCGGAGCAGTAGCAATCATCCATCTATCTACAACAATCAATATTTTACATGATTTTTTATGCATGTTAATTTCACCCATTGAAAACATGACTTTCAAGGAACCACTAGTAAATATGAAAGAGAGCTAACAAGGCAGAGAAGAAGAGCAAATGACTCTAGTGTCATGTCCAGAATCCATTGCAGCAAAACAAGAATGGCACCGAGCGTTGTCTAACAGGAGCTACAATTTTCTAATTCTAAATACATAAAACTAATCTAACTTCAGAGAAGCAGCAAAATCAAAAAGAATGTATCCATTAAAGTACCTTTTCAAAAGCACAGGCTTCACTGCCAGGGACACTGTACCAACATTTTGGCTCTCCCCTAAACAAAATGAGCAGCAGTGAGTACGAATTTAATTCACAAACTTAAGATCAAGCTTATCAAGGTCAAACAAGGCTTGTTACTCTTCGCAAGCAACTAAGATCTAATTCAAACAACTAATCTCTTCAGAAAAAGGGGCTCACAAGATTTGAGAATGAAAGATATTCAAGCAAAATTCATTTAAACATTGAAAGTTCACCCAGGCTCAGTTTAAATACAGCTCTACATGAAAGGACACAAACTCATAAAAAAGAGTAAAAAAGAAACAGGAGTTCACAAAATTTGAATGTAAAATCCAACTTTTTTGCATAAAAACCACAGCTACATTGCAGGAAGATGACGTGGTCATTTAAGTTAAGATTGCAATTTGTCATTGAAGGCTGTGATCTTTCAAAAGAACAAAATAGTTGAGGAACCAAAAAAAATAACACGAAAGATTTTCAAAAGCTTGAAAGCAAAGGTATATCTTGCTTGCATCCAGATTTCAGAGTCCAGAGCAGCTAAATGGAATGATTTAACAAATTTTACCTCATCTCAACACAGACATAACATGAGTAGCAGAAATTTTTTAAAAAGTTTTGCATTTGCAGAAGCTTGAAAGCAAAGGTATATCTTGCTTGAACTGGATTTCAAAGTCCAAAATCCAGCTAAATGGAATGATTTAACAGAAAATTTCCCCCATCTCAATACAGATATAACATGAGTAGCAGAAATTTTTTAAAAAGTTCTGCATTTACGTCACAAAGTAATCAGCCAGTGCTACAACCCAATAATCATCTAAACTTACATTCAAGCCAATAAACATCTAAATTTACACAAGACGAGAATGGTGCCCAAAATTAGAAGGATGTGTACCAGTGAAGATAATTCATCGAGTAAAAGCAGTGGTCCTCAAAATGCCAGCAGAATGATGAGAATAGCATCCCAATATACAGCCAGGGTACCATGACCCCAGCAATTCCATGATGCACTGCTTGAAGCATTGAACCAGGTAGCTTCGGTAAGTTATTAAGATTCCATGGGCTAGCACAGTACTCATCCCACACTTCAGCCTCAACTGATGATGGTCTTTGGTCAGCTACACGTGGAAATCCACTCCCGTATACGGAAGTATCCAAGTCACTGCCATACATTACTTCCACCTCACCAACTGATCCCTCTACAATCTCCCAAAACTTCTTCTCCAATTGTACCCGTGACGTAGGTGTTGATCCAAACCATTTCTTCTTCGCTCGCTCGGCCACACGCCTAAAAGCTTCCAGGGAAAACTCTTTACCAGGAACAAATCCAAAGCTCTCCTTTTCAGAATTCAAGCACTCCAAGCAGTACCAATTACCCAAAGGCACTTGCTTCAGAGGTGGAGATAAGCAATATATGTGCCAACCCTTATTACACCTATCACACAAAAGCATTACTTCCCCATGCAACCCACTTCTACATTGCTCACATATTTGATCAAACTCTTCCTTTTCTTGCTTGCGAACTTCAACTTTCTCACCCTCACTATTCTTCCGCATTCGCTTAAAACTCGAAACCTTAATTTCCCGACCTCTTTTTCTACCCCCTTGCAATCCTCTTTTACAAGTCTTCTCTTTTCCTTTATTAATATTGCAATAATACTCTTCATACTCACATAAATGCTCCAAATACAATTGACTCAACACATGCTTGGCGCAGTCTGTGATCTTCCCATTAGGGCGCACAAACCTGAAAACCTCCCCCCATTTTTTATTCTTCACAACCTTGTCATACCCTCCAAATCTTTTAACAGCATTAAACAATTTACACAAATCCAAATCACCACCTTCAAAGACAACCCTTTTTTTTGCTTTCCTACTGCAATGCTCCCCCAAAAACCTATTGTATTCCAACTTAAAAGTCTTTGGATCACATGAGGAACATCGCGCCTGTAACTTGTGAATTTCCTGTGTTTTTGTGGGGAATGTAAATGAATCTAAATCCAAACCAAAAGGAGGTTTCCAGCACTTAGGCGGAACGATCTTACAAATCCCATATTGCTCAGCCTCAGGCCTGATCTTATCAATAAACTCTAAAGGGTCCCTAAATTCATCCTCAGTTGGATAATACACTGGCCCTGCTGGGACATTCAATGAACCGCTGGATAAAACACAAGTACTTGGCCCCAAAACAACCTTTTCTACAGCCCTTGGCCTCCCTTTCCCCATCAATAATTCAATCTCTCATCTCAAACCATAAATAAATCCCACTACAATAACAAATTTGAATTCACATTAATATCTGGACCAAAAAATGTGTGTCCTCCAAGGGGGAAAAAAACATGCATGGATTAACAGCTTTCAACTAAAAACATGTTATATGAACTGAAAAAAAAAATTAAAGGGTCTTAAACATACCTTCTTTCGGAGAAAATATGATTAAATGAACGATTAATAGCTCTGAGAAGTAACTTCTCTCTCCCTTTTTTTTATCTTTTCTTTCCTTCTTTTTTTATTTGGAAGTTTTAAAGTGAGAGAGGGTGTGTTTCTCTCAATCCTTGAGACTTTAGCAAGTTCGTTTTCTTTTTAGGTTACGGTGCAAGAAAACTGGCGCAATCGTGAATGTCTTGCGACTGAAATTTGAGGATATTTACGAAAATGTCTACAGGGATCTTTCTATCAGATTCTCCTTGTTCTCAATAGAACCGCGTGAGTCGCACGTGAACACGTCAACGGTTGTGATGGAGCCGTGTTCGGTGACTTGATAAAAGAGAGCGTGAGAGTGTTTCGGAATGTGCTGATTACTCGTTATGAAACCGTCTGAGGTTTTCAACGAACCCATCGGTGGTTTCGGGGACGCATCACCAGTAAAAGTACATCGGATTGACGGTCAGGATTTTTAGTCAAGTCAAGATTTCTGTGCATCACTCTCTATTTTTTCTTTTTATTTTTCTTTTTTTCCTGTTTGGATCTTTTTTTTTTTTTATTTTTTGGTGTGTGAGTGTGTACAGATGGCAAAGGTATTGAAGTGATAAAAGAAGGTGCTAAATATTGGTCAATGACTTAGAGAGGCTTTGGCAGCATGCCGGTATATAATGTGAAGTTTCACTTGAAAAGTTTTGGTTGGATTAGGAATCCTTTTTGCTGCCATTTGTTGCAAATGTTAGAGCAGGCCTTACTATCTTTAGAAGGGAACAATAATAATAATAATTAGTCCTTGCCTATATTTTGAGTGTATATCGATCACTAGTAGTATCAGTATAATCTCTTGAGTGTGATGCTTTTATTTCTCACAATGCATTTCATATTCTCTTTTAATCTCACCGACTTCCACGATCAAGTTTGTGACCTAAAAATATGGCATTGTTGTGCCATCTAAGATTGAAAAAATATGATCAATTAAAGCTCAATCGACAAGTCCGCTAAAGGCTGTGCAAGCTATTACCTTTTATATATTAAAAAAAAGGAGTTAAAATGTGAAGATAGTTGGAGGGGAGATCAATTTGAAACTATTGAGATCAATGATTGTACGAGGAAATAATTTTCTCTTTCTATATTTATCCAATTACAAGTTTTTAAAAATATAACTGAAGTTGGAGAAGATGAAAATTTACCAAAGGGACCTTTGGTCTAAGTTTAGGAATTGGAATTACAATTGCAATTGGAATCACGTCCAAAAATTTAATATGGGTTTTGATTTAGAGTATCACTACAATCACTAGTGTTTGGTATATAAGGTTTTGAAATTAACTTGTTTTTTTTTTTCCTTCTTTCCCTTTTCTTGCTTCTTTCCAACCCTTAAGTACTCATGCTTTACCAAAATCTCTTGAACCTCCACCTGACCATCACCAATCAACCTTACAATCTGTAGAGCATGGGAGAGCAACTAACAAAAGATGAGAGAAAGGTTTGCACAATAAGGGGAAAAAATAGAGGAGAGATAACTAGATGGAGAGGAGGGACTGCCATGGAGTATTAGAGGAGAGAGGAAGATAGTGAAAAGAGAAAAAAAGGGAAAATGAAAGAAAGATTGACAAGAAATGAGAGAAAAAATCATATGAGGCGGGGCTGCTGCCATGGAGGATTGAAGGGGAGAGTAAAGCGAGAAGAAAACGAGAAAAAGATGATAATGAAAATCTATTCTGAAAAATAGGATAAAAGATGAAAAAGAAAATCTGATTGTAAGATGCTACCATAGAGGTTGGGCTGATAAAGCGGTAAAAACAAATATGTTTTCTTTTCCTTTTTGATGTCCTCCAGTTAAATTGAAACAAATTTGAGAATCCACCAAAACCCTTCAATTTGTTAGGAATTGAAAATCTCTAAATTTTAATGATTCACTCCACTATGCTAAATCCAATACATATAATCCAAACAATAAGAATTAGAATTATTTCAATTCCTCATTCCGATCCCCTTCTACCAAATGGCACTCGTGTGGTTCATAGGTCTGTTTTAAGTTCGAAGGTTTTCTTTCCCTTAACAATTATCATGAACTATAAGAATAGTTCATTAAGTGCTAGCAAGTCGTCAAAGTTCTGCTGGAGTCATTGCGCATCTAATAATCCGTAAGGATCAAATTGAAGCATATGAAGGTTTCATAAATAGAATTAGAGTTTCCTTTAAAATATATATATATATATATATATATATATATGTTGGATAATAGTTCAACAAATTGTCCTAATTTCTCATGTAATGAACAGTAACAGTAACACAACCGCCTTTATAAAAGCAACCAAAAAAGGAAGTTGTTATCAATTTGGATTCACCGTTGACTCTAGTGATAGCGTTGTGGACTTGTGACTATTTTTCAATCGGATAATGCACGTAATTGTATCTCACAGGCTTTGTAACCTTTGAAGCATTTACGTTGGTTCGACATGCTTCTTCAGTCACACAGCAATAGCTTCGTGCGAGGCTAAAGGCCAAGACTAGTTATGGGTTAATTTCATTTATCTCCCATTATTTGTCCAATTACAAGTTTGTCACTGTGAATTTATCCAAGTCACACTAACTCCCTCGTAAGTTATGATGGGATTCGTGAGTTTTTGTAATGTTCTCGATTGCTCTTGTATTCTAATTATAGAGCTTTTAGCTAAAATCTATAATCATGCAAAGAACAGCTTTTGTTGATCTAATTATTCGTCATAATCAGTTTTGATAATCAAATTTTTGTAAAATCTAAAGCAACTAGAACAAGACCGACAATGATACTAAAAATGGTGGAAAGTTGGCCTCTTGCTGTGTAACCTAATTGTAGCTGACCAAATTGCAATCTAAGCCTTTAGATAGCCAAATATTTATCACCCCCCCCCCCCAAATATCATTTGAATTAAAAAGTTAAACTAAAATGGAAGACAAGTGCTTGGTACCTAAAAGTGAAAAAAAAAATAGAGTGAAAAAGTTAAGAAAACCCTCTTTAGCCCTCATATTTTCCTTAATGTGCTTTATAGCTCACACTTCAAGTGCTACATCATTCTCCAACCTGTTTTTTCTTTACATCCATCGACTATCCATTAGAACTAGATATAGTACTGACTATTAAACAAGAAGAACTAAGTGAAATTTTGTAGCGGTTAAAAAAAAAAAATCATGAATATAAAGTGCAAATCTTTTGCATAGAAACATTGCATTTGATGGGCATGTAATGCAACCAAGAATTCGGATACCATCAAGTTTTCTACAATAAAAATGTTACCATTCATACCAGCTATACAGTAGTGGTGATTGAGCAAAAGGCCCCATAATTGGGGTTTTTGTTACATTGGCTATAATATATAGGGCGGATGTGAAAAAAAAAATATAGGGTGAAAAAACAATGGCAAGGGAAAAGGTCTAATGATTAATAGTTTCAACAAAACAAGTTAATTTACTTACTTCAATTTAAGTAATAGTTAACAACAATTAACTAATGGGAGGGGATCTTCGAATATGATTAGCTAGTGAAAAGGTTCAATTATCATTAAGACAATATAGAAGGTCTGTTCTATAATTTGGACAATCTTAGGAGAGGTAAATGCGATTAACCCAAACTACAAGAGACCAGTTTTGGGTTTTAAAACATGTCCTTGCCATACAAGGGGCATTTCTAACGTCAACTATGGGCTCCTCGATAAAGGTTTTGGTATTCAAAAGGATTTGAGTCTAATTTGGGGTATACAGGTCTCCCTTAGTTATTGAATCACCTGATAGAAAAATTCAGATTATTTAGTCTCTAAACATACAATTTCAGGATCATCAAGGATTTAACATAAATTGGAAAAGCATAGTAGGGTCTATAATAACTATTTGGTTACTAAACTTTTTTTTTTGTCTAATATTATTTCACTTGCATCAAAAACACGTTTTCTATCTTTTTATAGTCATAACCACCATTTTATCTCATACATATTATATCACAAGAAAATATTTTTTCCAAATAATCTCCCGTTCTCCACTGAACCGATTCATTTATGGATTTCTAATAAGCAAAACCAGCTGCACTTAGAAAAGGAGATAAAATCATCTAATGGGCTTTATGCCATATAATGTAGAAGTGCAAACGAGTCGAGTTTAATCCAATAACTCGCAAGGTTGCTCGGTTAAAATTGGAGTTCAAACTCGTGTTGACTGAGTTTGAGTTTGAGTTCAAGTAGTTTAAACTATTTGATAAGTCGAGCTCGATTTTAATATATGAAAATCGAAAATTCGTCGATCTTAATCGAGTTGCATATATATGTTTTTGTTTGAATTTTTTTATTTATTAGTATGAAATGTTTATTTTGTACCATGTTTAAAATTATATAGATAATATAAATTTATATTTTCTAAACTTGATTAGACTTGATTAAACTCGATTGAACTTAAAATAAAGTCGATTAGGTTTGATAAGTACAAACTCGAACTCGAACTCAAGTAATGCAAAATAAAATTAACCTTAAACTCAACATTCAAGAGTTCGGCGAGATCAAGATCTAAGTCCAAGTTTTTGCTCAAGTAATGCAGTACTCCGGGTAGACTCAATTTGATTATACCCCAACTCCACTGAACCAAAAAAAAATGAATTAAAAACGGAAAAGAGAAGAAATCAAGAAAAAGATTTCACTGTTTTCACCACTAAAAGTGGACAGTAAATCATTTTGAAGTGGGAAACACCGATCGACTTCTTTCACATATGTAACCAGTAAAAAAGAATCCCCGGGTAAAAATCTAAAACTGTACGAACTCCAGTCTTCATTCCTTAGACCAAGTTGACAAATTAAAAAGATAAAAAATTTACTCCCATCATCAAACAATTATAATATTTTAAAATTAGTTTTTGTACCCATTAGATGAGCAATCGATCATGGGCATTTTATAATTCCACCACTTCTACTACTTATGTCCCCCCCAGAATTAAAATTAAAAATTGTTTTATGTCGGTGGAAATTCTTAAAAATTAAAAAGAAAAAAGAAGGGGAAAAAAACCCAAAAACCAATTGGCATACACACTGCTACTACTACACTAAATGAGATCTACACTTTGAATATCCAAATCGAGCTCTTTTCATACTTAGCTAAAAGGCACACTGTTATGCAAAGAACCCTTTTCTTTGTTCCCATTTCACCAC